TAGAGGCGAATACAGAAAAGTTGTTAGCCGCTGAACACCAATACAGGAGTAGAGTAGGCTGGCGTCGTCGTTGAAGATCGCTATTGATCCCTTGAATGGGTACGGCTTGCTTATATATGGCGATTTTCCGCCAAAGCGCGGGTGCGCAGCGGAACTCTGTACTGCGGTTTGAATGAAGTCGATATTGGGTTTGACAAGGCGAAAGTAACTATGAGGATACTATGACAAGGAGCATGATATTATGATATAAAAGACTATGAGTTAAAACTACTACTCTTATCCATGTCTCGCGTTTTATTCAGGAATGGGTTCAACTTAACGGTGTCAGGGTAATGGAAAGGACATCACTGATTAAAATGTTAGGGAGCATATTACCTGGTCGTGTTAACCTCAACATCCGGCAGTAGGTAAAGAGGTAGGCTGAATACGGCAGTATTGTGCAGAGGGAGATATCAGAGAGAAAGCTAATGAAAATTAAAGAAAATTGAAAGTTTGATATACAACTGTGTGATATTAATGGAGATATAGACATTAGGAAAAACGAGAGATGAATGATTTCCATTCATGTTCAACGTTAGAATACTTCCTCGAATGGTGTTCCGCTTGACACCGCCCCAACCTCGCTCCCCTTCTACTACATTACCTCACCAGCAAGGATGAAAGAGGGATGAGGATGTGGAGGGGATTGAGGACTACTATTTCGGATACTACTGATTATGAGGTCTACAATTCATATTTGTGCGTGGACTCTATATGAAGTTGTTAATAAGATATTAACTACATATTTTTTGGAAGCGACTAAACCACTGGTTTTCAAGAATCGTTATGTTCGAACGTCTTAATACTGTTTTACACCAACCTTATAGCGTAATATACGAAGAAGTTTGTTGCACATGCGAAGTTAACAAAAAGTCCTGCTAGAAGGTTGACGTGGAACCTTTCTATCTTTATATGAAGAAGATCACCGACGCAGACGATGGCCATAGTACTGAACCAACCAAAAACAACAGTGAGGCTGATTACGATCAGTGATTTATAGATGTGCTTCATGCTGTCTTGACCTAAAAACAAAATTGCAGTCATCGTCGTTCCACCAGAAAACCTCTTCGGAAACACTGCTCATCTGCACCCTCGCTAGAATCACCAGAGGGTACTATGTACCTACTTGACTGCAAAACAAAATCTTACAAAATGGTATCACTCAAGCAAAAAAGATAACAAAATTTCTTCACTTACTCATTCGAACTCTTTTTATGAAGCACATGAATATAGCATAGCAAATAACAATTAGAATATTGATCACCATTATAGATTGTCCAAAAAACTTATATACTACACCTTGTATAGGTTCAGTAATAACACATAAGACCTCACTGGAATAAAAGCGCAAATTACTTCTATGATAATACTCGGGAGGGAGTAGAATAGTTCTCACTGCATAGCCAAATGATAAATCTATCTGTTCTGAAAACTACTGCTCAGGTGAAAAATTGCTCTGATGGTCGTCATTGTCTCATCTCCTTACCTCCCGCTTTCATTGTAGTCAGGACAAAGCAAATGCTGACTTACTCGTTATCGTGAGGAACGAATATTACACCAATATCAGCGATTATAGCGAATATGGCTGCTATGGAAGTCTGGACAGTCACATAAAGTTTTGCATGACGAAGAATAACAAATTTGCTGAAAAGGAATTGTGTGAGTTTAGATATTTTCTTTTCGGTGAAGCAAAGTAGAGATAGAGCTGAAGGTAGAAACATGGTGCTCAAAGAACTTGTTTACTTGTTGAAACATACTAAAATGTATGCAAAGACATTAGTCGATCGAGGGCAGCGCTGAGAAGCAACCATGAAGAGAAGAACATGCCAAATATTGCGAGTAGTTGCATATCAGAGCAAAGGTTCCGTCCTATTTTATGGGTAGGACTCCTGGAAAGGTCAGTTGCTCAATAGAGGAAAATTTCCTATGGAAACCTGTGGCTTTGAAGTGTTTGTTCTTTTCAGCACCATTCTTATGACGCTTTTCCAAATGTCAGGTATGGAACCTATGAGCATGATCAGACTAGTGCTTACAAAGGGAGTTCTCGGCGCGCCTACAGTGGTTGTACCATCACCTCAAGGTCGACCAAACATCTTATAAGATAAACAACAGGCTTCTCTCCGACGTTCGACGCCCTACAGGAGAAAAAGGCTGAGGAAACAACCACCAGAGAAGCCAAAGGCGGCTACCTACGTAATAGGAGCGAACGTCGATGGAAGAAATGTCGGCAGCTACAAAGGAATCAAGTATCTGGTCGACTCAACGGAGGTTATCCATTCTTCGTTTTTCAATCTTATTAAAAACGCCACTACGACTTCGAATGGAATTCCAGTAAGAAGGCTTATCTCATGATCAACGTCAAAGTCTTCTAATAGTCTAAACTGGTATAGTTTGTGGGACCCCCTAAACTGGCATTAGGAGAGATGCACATCGAATATAAATTTTTCACTTTTTGTCCACTTTAAATTATCAAATAGATGAGTTTTGGAAAGAAATTTTTGATTAACTCACATATTGTGTGATATGATCATAATGAAGTGCCCAGTCATATGTAGTACGTCACCGAAAGATATCAAAGCTATAAATATGTTGCATGGACCTCGTAACAATCTGAAAAGGTGGTATTTATCAATTCTTGCAGAAGAGAGATGTGTAAACCAGATAGGATCACTTACCTTGACCGTATAGTAACATAAACTATAATTGAGTTCCCTATTAAGCTGATTGTAGGTATGAGAATATAGAAGACTTGATAAGCCTTAGGAATGATGTCTGGAATCATTCTGAAAAACAAAAATGATTCCGAAAATGTGCCTAGGAAAGCAAAATAAACGTGGAACTCGATCTTTAACAGAAGAAGAGAAGAGTAATTTGAATTACAAGACTCTAAGAAAGCGGTAACATTGACAACTGCATATGCTCAACCTCCTCCTCAGGCTGCACTCAGAAAATAGCTGAGATTAATGACTGATATAGGAAATGCGATGTAATTTAGGTGAAGACAGCTAGAAAATTGAAAATTGTCTTCACTATGGTATTTCCCCTGTTTTCTGATTTAACCCTGCATTAGAAAGAGGACTACCGTATCTGCGGAAATTCAGCAAGTATTTCCAGCGCAAAATGCTCATTGAGCTTTTACACCTACACGTCCTGGACCAAGGCTTTTCATATGCTTACGCTTCGAGTTGCTGGTATTAATCAAGATTCATGATGAATGAATGTAATTGCAACTAGATTCATTTAATACAAAGTATCTATCTGCTGTGCCTTCAGTCCAAAATAGGTTGAGAGAAAATCAGTTCTCAACAGAGATATAGGATAAGTATTTTCAGATGCCTAACTCTATAGTACCCCTACTTCTACATACAAACATCTAAATCAGAATCATTCACCGGCATTCGTTTCTAAAAAACAAATGAACAACTCTACTGCAAAGGCAAAATTCGGACTTCTCAACCCCGTCCCCATTTTCCCTGGCTCGAGAGGACAACTTGCATGACTGCCTGCATAACTAAATCGTTTGTGTTTCTTCGGAGAAATTCTATTGAATAGGAGAGCATTGATAGAAAGCATAGGTGGACATGAAGCTTTATCTTTCCAAATAACAGTTAAGTTTTGTAAACATATTTAATACGCTTTCAGGAGCAACTTTGTAATGAAACAAAAGAGGAACGGCCTTAGAATCCCATCCACAGGTATAGCTTGAGTGAGTAGAGTACAAGCACAAGAAATTTTTTAAAACCAACCTATATAGCTTCCATTAGAGAATGAAGTACTAATTTCCCGAGGAACACGCCTTTTCCCTCCTATTTAGTGAATTCTCCTCTTCTTGGAAAGTTATTAAGGTAAAAGCTTAGAGTTGAATTGGTTATTGGCATGTGTTGAAGCACCACCAGAATGAGGATGCTTTTGTGATTTTTTTTGTAGTGGCCTACATGCTCAAATACCATTGTTCACATCAACGGTATGCTTGCTTGGATGCTTAATGGAGTTTGTGATCTATACTTGTACCATAAGTTAGAATGAGTAGGTAAGTAAACAAGCATTATCGTAGCTTCTGCTGATTCTACCACAAAATCATTTCGGCGGTTAATTTAGGTATTATCTCTTACCTATGGCCTGCTAGACGAAGGCTCACGAATAAGAGAGTGGTGAAGCCTCTCGAGAACATCAACATCTAATTATGAAACTTTGAAGGGGCTGTCAAGTGTAACGTGACATATGAGGGCCTGCTTCGGAGAAATCTGACGTAATGGAGAGTATTCAATTTCCTCGATTCATTCAATTCTGATTTAATACTGACGGTTGTATAAGAACTTTATGCAAAAACTGGTTCAAGCGCAGTCAGACGTAAAATATCTATAAAAGTAGATCTGAACTGTTACAGCATAAGCTACTTCTTAGTAGCTCCTCGCCCGGTCGTATACCTCTAAAAAGCATTTTATTCGTGGAAAACTAGACTCAAACTCAGTTTGAATGCTTCTTACAATTGTGCGTATAGTCAGCTACAAAACCACATTCATACTATACTCATAATATCATAAATGGCGAAACATCTGCTTCATAGACAATCGGCTCGCCAAATTTTCTCTCCATTTTGAAATTGTCCAGCTAATTATAGTAGATGAATACTGTAAAAAGCCACCAAAATTAGCCAAAGCTTGGGACACTCGAGGAGATTCGGAAGTGCCATGTTTCAAGAAATCCTGCAAGGGCTGTATGTCTCGAAGAGATTCTTGTTACCCTAAAATAGCCCATTTTGATGAGGTAATACGCAGGGAAGTCATTTCAAAAGCTGCCAAACCCTTATTTCATTTCCTTGAACTAGGAAAATTACTGAATACCCCTTCGATTATCTCATTTCCCATAAAATATCGATCCCACAAGAGGCTTTACCGGAATATTGGCTACTAATCTTTGAAAACACTCTATTTATGCACTTAAAGACAATAAGATCTCTCCGCTTATCGTTATAGAATCGTACCTAAAAGCAGTAACATCAAGCGGCAATCAAAAAAAAACTGAATGCGTAAGTGGGGATTTTTTTCAACGCAGATACAAGCAGGGATCTCTGTTATGCATTCAAATTTTCATAATTATGAAAATTTGAATGCATAACAGAGATTAAAATTAAAAATTCTTTCTATGGGGGAAAAAGAAAGACAGCCTAATGGGAAAAGTCACCATGCATTGATAGTATTCAAGTATAGCCCAGGAATGTGCAGCAGAGGGAAAAAATGGAAGAAAATCTGAATGCCAAAAACTAACATTCAAAATGGGGGTCGAAAGTTGTAGGAGCCTATTTCGAAGGGAGCTGGACGCAGAGAAAAGCATAATAGGAACATTAGCTACTAGCACCTACATTGTACTACATCACCTGCTTGTATTAGGTAATTTATATGGAGTACGAGGAAACCATTAGTAACTTTTATATCCTGCCTCTACTTTTCAGCTAGAACTATGTTCTTGAATAGTTACGAAATCTGGCTAATTAGCGAAATATTTATGTGGCTGTGGTGTGATTGGAAGTCTCGATGAAAAGGGATTCTTTATTGAAGAATAAAACTGACGTATGTATATGACTAATTGGATGAAGGAAACATCGATATAATTGCAGCATTAGTAGCAGAATAAAAGAATTATTTAAGAGAAATTTTTCATTAATAATTAAATACGGTAGCAAGAATAATAAGTCCCCGAGCCTATGTGCATATCTTATTGTTGGTTCGAAATCAGTACTCTATGGGAGGCGAAGGTTGCTCTGAAGACGACAGCATTGGCACATAAGGTTGATCGACGGTGCGCTTGTGAATTTTCAGTAAGTTGGTTGACTAGGGGAAGAAACAGGTTGCGTGATGCCTTTTCACCAGTTTTTTAGCAACAAAAAACTTTCCATTAGTTTTTTTAGTTTTTTTTTCTGGAGCCATTAAGAGTTGCCATGGCTGAAGTGAAATGAAGTAATCTTATTACCATAATCATAGGGCTAGAGGTCGAACCTTGACTTGCGAAAAAAATCCATTTACGTAAATCGAGCACCGATCGCGAACTCTCTGAGTATTGCTGGAAATATGAGAAATTCAACAAATAGGCTTTTCGATATAATCCCTTGACTCCCCCTTTTCGTCGGATTGGATTTCTTTGATTTTGAAAAATAACCCTTCTCAGTTCATATCAGAGAGAGCTAAGATATCTAGGAGCAGAAACGTCTCCTTTTCTCTTACTCAGACAGTCCGTGAACAGTTTGGACTAAACCTGGGATCGATATTTGATTTATTTATTTATTTTTATTAGTTTACCAATTTTTTTATTGATTCACTGACCTACTCATTTACTTGAAAATAATAAGCTCCTGAAATAATGGTTACTACTGTGTTTTTAGACCAGAAAGTCCCTGAATGATTACATATTAGTTTCAGAAGACGCTGACCTTAACCAAAAAAGGCATTCCCTCTTCAAATGGACACAATCGATGATTCGAGCTATTTTGAATGTATGTCATGGCGATGTACTGGACTCGTATTAGGACTTCTACCGTAGCAAAACTAGATTTTAGATGATGACCGATAATTAATAGAATAATTGAACGACTCAAGAAAATCGTCCAAGAAACTTTTAGCTAATTGGCAATTCTTCGGAATTTTCTCATTTTGAGAGGGAAGATTAGCGTAGCGAAAAGCGGATTAGCCTTGGAAGTAATGTGTGAACGAAGTATTACGGTAATGCATATTAAGTGAAAAGGAAGAATAAAGAATTAAAAAGCCAATTATTGAAATATCGGCAAACGGAAGTAGAGGGTAGTATTTAATCCTAGTAGCTAAAGCTAAAAACTGAATGAGCAAATTGTTCAACTGGAAAAGTATTTCTAGGATTTGAGTAAAAGCTTCAAATTATTGAGGAAGTATGTCTAGAGGAAAGCTGTGTCGCAGTTTTCGAGAAAGTAATTTGATCCTAGAACCTTTTTTTCTGAAATCTGCGAGTTTGAACCGCTTGGCAAGTATGGCGAAATGGTTTGGAGGTAGTAAAATAAACGAGAAGATTTTCGATAATGAACTTCAGACAGATGTTATATTTGGTCCGTATTCATCTTTTCAATACAAAAACTCATCCTTCGAAGATAACTATTACTTTCATCTCAACTTGCAAACCTAGCTGAAAACATTACGAACACATTCAAACTCTCAAAAAAAGAATCGTTCCAGCTTGTATCATCTTCATTTGGGCAACTACAGTATCAATTTTCTTCAAAGAAGTTTCACCTCAAAATTTCACCCATCAAAATTGAGAGGCTTTTCGATGTGTATAGGTTCCCAGGATCAATGTCTGTCACACCAACCGAGCCTTCAATCCCTCCTGGGTCGGCTAGTTGGCTCCGACTGTCTGGGAGGAGAAAAGCATGGGCTTCTACATTGGCCAGTCACCGCAAGTCACTTTATCGGCAACATACGCCTTCAAGACGCCACTACGTTTATAATATTAAATTTATGCCGCCTTAGACGGGATTAATCAACACCCACAGACTTTATTCTTTTATTTCCATGTGTAGGCAGCAGGTGAGCCATAGGTGATGGTGTAGTGGCAGCCGGTGCCTCACCATCACACGATTCGGCGATCGAAATCGGGGCTATTATTCGCTGAGGCCAATCGAAGTTTTCACCCCTTCGATTCGACTTGGTACTGAGCTCATTTGAGAGGGTAAAAGCACTGACTTTCATATTGAAAGTTCAACGGGGGTAGTAGTATATGCCGTGTACGTATTTTGAATGCCTCCAAGATTCTGAATCG